CACGTTCAGCATACGGTCCCAGCCGAAACGCCAAAAGGGCTGGTTTGCTTACCTCAGTGGCGCCTATGTCGCATATCATAGCATGAATCTGTATGCGGAAAAAGTAGCGGCATAACGGCGACGCCACGACACCACGTAAACTGGCAAAATGCATGAGTAAATTTTGCGCCATGCCTAGATACTGAAATTGAATGACATAATACGTAGCTTAACCCTTTGACTACTGGTGGTACACATGTGTACCACTTCCGTAGTCAAAGACACTACCACAGTTTTGGCACTTATTGAGATCAGGAGGCCCGCTTGATGGCGGAATTGTGCACAATAGAAACTTTATAATTCTTACTCTGTCAGCAATTGTCAGAAGTCAAAGCGAGCCACCCTGGGTAAAATGAACCAAGTCATGCCGCAGGTTACTGCTCAGTGTGCACAGCTACCAAAAAGTAATTGAACTATTCGCGCTAGTGGCCTTATGGCTTCCAAACTGTTACATCAGGGCAACATGAGCAAAAAGTTTTCGGTCGATGAAATGCCCGATGACTGAAGGGGCATTTCATCGACCGAAAACCTAGCCAGTGGACGCCGCGGCGTTCTACGACATGTTGGAGCATCCAACTTCCAATATTCTGGCAGTTTATGGTGCGGAAGCGAATTTAGAGGACTCCTATGACGACACAGATTCGAAGCAGTAGAAGTCGACAAAAATTCGTTAGAGCAGAAGCAGCCGGTGGGATTCAAAGCACCTCTACGGAGTGCTGTTGCAATACTTCCCAAGTGTAGTACCAACGGCACACCGGCTTTCTTCCACAAATGAAAGGTGGAAAAGGTGCGTAAATGGCAGTTGAATTGATAATTTATATTTCAAAAACATTCATTTGAGCGCTGGTGCGGTGGCACACAGCGCGCCCATAGACCACAGATCAAATTCTAGGTCTAACCCAGCGTACGTCAGCAACACTTCTATAGATGATTAGTTGTTTCTAGGAGCAGTGGTTACTACACAAACATAGTTTGAAAAAAAATGTAGTCTAAGGGTTGAGTCAAATATAGCCCTACACATGATACTTTGTGATGAACCCTATCAAAGATATTTCTTTTATATTTATTCCTCATCGTCCACATCTAATTGCACGGAACGAAACTGTTTAGATCTTTGTGACTCTTTCGAAGGCCCTACCCGTCAGACCTCAAACTGAACACGTGTATTCAACACAACGGAGATCCTACCGCCCCGAATTATTACACTCGGCGAATCCCAACACTTCCCACAATATACATACACATTGGACGAGAAAGCGCTCCGTACACCTGCAGAACATACAGCTTTAGCACAGATCTTCCTAATTTAAGATATCTCCGCTAATATAGGTAGGATCCGAACGAACAGTAGAGAATCCACGGTGAATGCCAAAACTGCGTTAACAATGAATCCTGTTCGCACTTTCATTTCAGCGTAAAGCAAAACTCATGGGGAAGAAACGCTGCGAAGCGGGTGCGAGGATACGAAAATCGAGGAAACGAGAGAACAAGCAGAAGAGCAAGACGCAGATGCGCCTATGGGTTCAATTCCATAGCAGATAGATGTAACTACGAGAGTAACACTTGGCCTTTGACGCTTCAGTTTGCGCCATGAAGTCGGTAGAACAAGTGCGCTCGCAGAACACTCTACCTTTCTCGCGCAGGGATTCATTTTTATAGAGTGACCATGGAATGTGTCTATGAAACAAAAGCTAACACTCAACGCTAGATCAAGTACTGCCCACTAGATTTTTCTGTTGGATGTAGCAGAATCATCACAACCTTTCAATAGGCAAGCCATGTTACCTACGAATACCGACCTCCAGGAGCGATGCAGAGAAGATTGCCTTCTTGCAACTGAGTAGTACATTCTTCAACGGTACCGGCTGTGATCGAGAATACTTTACAGATAGCATTCCAACCTGTGTATATAACTCATTAGTATTCAACACCAGAAAAAAAATAGCAAATTTGTAGAAGACAGTAACCTGGGATTTTGAAGATGAACTTGTCGCCGACACAATGGAGCGAGCGGTTCTTGTGAAGTACCAGTTTAGCGATGAGGTAATATACATCCAACGGTAGACACCCGTGGTAATAAATAAAGAGGGCAGACCCGTCATCTGGCACGTTTTCGATACCATCTAATTCATAACCTAAATAATGAGTGTGAATAATTTTACTGCGCAGTACACGCTCGATAGCAATATTTCAAACACTTCAAAATGGTGTCTAGTTCCTTAAGCAACAACTCCAGATGAGGTCGTGGGACCAATCTATTTTTGTGGGCTGGATAGAGTAGCCCACGAGTATTATAGAGTGCCGTTGTTGCGGCAAGAAGGTGCGCCATAATGGTGCTAGGGCCTTTCAAAATGCTGACAGCTAATGTGAGGTAATGGACGAGATACCCCGCGCGCACCCCATGATAAGCAACGTGGATCGCGGAGAAGTGGCTAATTTCAATACGCATGCGTTGGGCCATGGAGAAAGCAAAGTTCGATCACGCTCCACTCTTAGTTCAAGGTGGAAGAGAAGTAGTCCTTGTTGGGGA